TTGCAGATGAAAATGAGGAAAAAGTCCACACCATCGAACTTATCATAAAATGGACGGCCAAAGGCGTTAGAATCATAACAGCGAAATTACCCTTGAAAACCTAGTTTAACGTCTCTGTTTTTGGGCCATGTAACCAACTACTTGATGAGGCAGAATAGTATTTTTTATGCTTTTATTTCGTGAAAGTTTAATTTATCTGTATAAAAGCGCCGTTCATTTTGAAAATGACCCAAGTCCATATTTTAAAATATTTTGATTTTTACCTTAACTTTTCATTTTGAAGTAATCATCTGTATGTAATGTACGCAGTATATGTAGTTAGAGAGAGAACAAGAGAGAGATAGACAGCGAGAGAGAAAAAAGATAGACTTAGGTCACTTTCAAGATAAGCGGCTTATACATTTATATATAAACACACATACATAAATTAATATATTCTTCTTATATTTTGCAATGCAAAAAAGTTTCAAAATTATTTAAAATTATTTTTATATTTTATATGCAAGTTTGTAATTTTATTTATATCGACTTTTCATTGTTCACTACTAAGTACTAAGGTGCACTAAAAACAAAGGTAGCTTCAAGTGTGATCATTGACGAAATCACTCTGTCACTGCAAATGTTGCATAAATTAATGACGTACCTGTAGAAATGAGAGTTCTCTTGCGTCAAAACTTAACGTACTTTCTGAATAGATTAGATTTACTACTGACGCATTTCTTTTTCAAACAACATAGTCAAGCATAGACAAAGTCTTAACACAAATTACATATATATTCTTAATCAGCATGAATTTTCAAAGATACTGAAATATAAATGGGACGATTTCATAATCGTTCTTAAAAAGGACAATCTCATAAGTTCTCTTCAAATTCGGTGTTGTTTCTTACAGCCACAAAGTTTCGTTCACAAGTATGCTAAGGAGCGGAGAGGTGTAAAATTTAGATTTGCTCGTTTAATTATCGTCTACTTAACACATTACTCTTCGATATATTATATTAAGTACTAAGTGCCTCTTCGTCCAACCTCATCTAAGTAAACAGATCCCCAGATAAGTCATTGTACATTTAGGTGAACACTACTGGCACTTTTGCTTATATCCACAATTATAGCATAGAGAATAGTACTTTCATCACATTCCCTAGTGGTTATTAACCAAAAAGAAAATTTTTACTAAATACAGTTTGTCAATGAATTTGTCAAATTTACAAAATTACATACTCGGTTACGTTTAAACAAACGCTGACGAGTAACTTGATTACCTTTCCGCGTCTATTATAACTCTGGGTTTTCACTTGTAGTTCGTTTTTCATAACATACGTCCCGCAGTCAAAAACATAGCTTTTCCTAAACTCTTCATATGTCGGTCATATCCTAGAATTGCTGACTTAAGAAAGGTTTCATTGTATGTCGCTCTGTGTAAACTTTTTCAGATACCCACTACTCACTCCCCTTCTCTTTTTCATTTTATTTTTTTATTATTCTAAAGTCTACGAGTTTTTTACAATTTATTGCAAACGAAGTGAATGAACTGTTGGAACACATTAACGATTAATTTTATAATTAAGTCATTTACTGTTGAATGTTGTGAATGTTGTAAGAAATATTAGAAATGTATATGTACATTGGCGACAGATGAACAATAAAATCAGAGTATTTAAAATGAAAATTAATAAAAAGTTATCTTGAATATCTAAAGTCAACTCAAAAATTTTGGTTAACATTTTTCTTTATCAGTCATTCGGAGGATGTGGGTATAATGGTTGTCAAGAAGGTTTATAAAAAAAAAAAGGAGTGCACAACTAAGGAGGAGAGAAAAGGTCAGTAAAAACAGAAGAGGAAGAGTTTATTATGTTCATAATGAAGTTATTTTTTTTTGTCTATTATGCTTCTCAAGTTGTATTTCCCTTTGTGTAACCTAGAGAAGAGAACCTATAAGAAAATTAATTAATTACATATACACCTATATATAACTACGATAGTAAATGTAAGCCGCTAAAATAAAATATATCGTCCCGTTTGTCTGTTCGCCATTACACATAAACTGGTTGATTGAACTAAAAGAGAAACATGAAGCTCTGCATAGCACATCCTCAGGTAACATCACCCGAATGAAATTTAAAAACAAGACTAGGAAATAAGAGAAATTGTCTTCAATTTTGCATCGGTTATAAGCCAAGCTCACCCCACCAAGAAGCAAAACATTTAAACTTGCAACTCATTATGAACAACTTTTGCAAGAGTACTTTCTACGATCAAAAGTCGATCTTACCAATCCGTTGACGCGTTCAATGTTACTTTACAATTTTTATATTCTGCACCACACGTGATGCAGGATGCGTTATATCTATTCAGAATAATTTTCTAAATCGACTCAAGTGTGTCCGTCCATGCAAATTTGTACTCGATGCCAAAAATAAAATGTTGTGTAGGATATTTAATAGTCGGCTTAGTCCGAACTATAATGTCTTCACTTGTTCAATATCGTTGCGAGCAGGAAATGGATATCAAAAGTTTGATCAGATACGAGCATAATTTTAAAACATATTATAGTTGATTCATTGTTATTCGCCCTACCAAAATGCGAAGGGACAGAAGAAGAAGAAATAAGTAGAAGAAGTAAGAAATTTACGTTCGAATTGTTCTTGCGTTGATAAATGATACATTACAGTCCGATATCGGAATACTTGCTATTGTTGTTGTTGTTGTTCATAAGTACTAACTGCACTATGATTAAATATCTCGGAATCAGTCAACTTGGTGTAGCGTATATAAAAGATTAAGACTTTGTACCTAATTGATGCGTAGTACACTAAATTTTGAGCTCAACTTCAAGCAGATAATGACTGTCTTTAGCAGAGATATAGAAGAAGTAAAGGGAACGTGTCTGACCTTATTAAGATCAACTTTGTCGAATCTAGTGCTAAGAAGTGTAGATGGGCAATGATCGATCAAAGATGTTATATCAATGGAAAATAACAAAACTCCTTTTCATTCCTAAAGCGTTTTTCAAGGCGTTATCTTTGAGCAGATTGTAGGCGTCAACTGTCAGGTCAAATAAATGAATTGTAATTCATTTTCATTTTAGCAAATCGATCACAACAATTTCGCTACCAAAGTAATATTTATTCACGATAAGTGTAGAAAACGAATTTTCTTTCAAGTTTGAATTCAACATAAGCATGCACGTCTGTACATGCTTGCTTAAATAGAAGCAAAGTTTACCACCAATGGCTAGAGGTAAAGGAATAAATTGAATATTTTTGCAAAGAAAATAATTTAAATTTAAAAGTATTTTGAAAACCAATGTTTCTCCGCACAAACAAGCAACAGCTACCTCGTTGTTTGAGTGATCATATTATGCTAAAAAAAAAAAACCCTGACATTGCAAGTAAACGAATAATAAATTTATACAATTTTTTTTTTTTTTTTTTTGAAAACTTAACAATGAAGAAAAATTTTGTAAAGATTTATATTCTTAAAAGGAATTGCAAACTTCTATTAGCAACCAACATCGCTACCTAACACAACACACATTTAAGTACGTGCGCACATTTCAGGTATACGTATAGTTTACGTAAATTTTGTATTCATTTGTCGATTTAAAGAACTTACGTCAATTTATTTTTCACATTTCGATTTACATTTTCATTTGCAATATGTTACTATTACTGCGCTGTACTGGTTTTTATTTTGTTCTTCTTCTTGTTTTTCTTTTTTGCCATGTTATGCAGCACAATGCCATTGTTTTTTATACGAAATCCTTTTTTACATTAAATTACTACTAGACTACTACTACTACTACTACTAGTAGTGTGTGCTTGTGGCGTAAGTTGTATCGGGTGTGGTTGGTTCTTTGAAATCTATAGTTTTCCATTTGAGTATGTATATGCGTACTACAACTAAATGGGAATTAATGGGGTGGATTTAAACAGAAGAACAAAAAAAACAAAAAAAAGCAAAAAAGAGAAGGAGAAGAAGAAGAAATAATAAGGTTGTACAACTCTTGTTGTAAAAACTTATTGTGCCATTTGAAAATATTGATTAAATAAACGTTTTGTGCATAACCGTACGGAATATGAATGTGTTCAAAGGTACTCTAAAATTTGTAAAGATGACGAGTCAAGCATATATATATATATATATATATATGTGTGTGTGTGTGTGTATTAGATATAGGTAGAACTAAATTCTTTCCATATAGTCGAAATTGTTTCATGAAACATATTTGTTGCCGTTCAATTTTTCCGAAACTTTGCATAGAGTTTTTTTTTTTTTTTTTGGATATTAGAGCTTGAACGTTAACGATTTCAGTTTGTTTACAAATAAGCTATCGTTCAGTGTAGAACGAACTGCCAGTATGCTGAATTTCACGTACCTGGGCGTGAATATTCGCCTTGGCAACAGAGATGGCTGATTATCTTGAGTCAACTCGTGGTTTAATTTCGCTTAAGATTGTCGAACGGCCAAGCAACTTCACTTATAGTCGCACCAAACGTTATCAATATATCTCAAAAATTGCGACTTGTGGGCAGACATCAGATGCACGGACGGAGAAACAAGCCCAAGATAGATTCGGAAAGTATTTCTAAATCGTTAAGTGCAATAAAAAGTTGAATTTCTTTGAAGTCCTTCTACTTATTCCTTCTATTTATTCACTGCCTATATATTTTGTAAATAAATTTACAAGGTATAGCTGCCCGATAGTCTAGATCACATACGCGTCTATGTTGAAAACTCTACCGCATTTGAGATTTGAACTCACGACCGTTTGCCTACTTGGCTACTCATGCGAATAAACAAAGTTAATATGTCTTGAATATATCCGAGGCATTGTGTAATGACATAATTCAAAAAAAAAAAAAAAGTCTTCTTCATAGTTCTGGGGAAAAAAAATTTTTTTCATAGCATATAAATATTTTCGTTACCTTCCCTGGATAGTGTCATAAAATCATAAAATAAAGTTATCAACAAGATAAGATGTTAACGGAAAGGTTAAGAAAAATTTCCAGAAAATCCAACATGCAGGAGAGGTAACAAATATTCTCCGGAAAATCCCACGATTACGAGGATTAGCAAAAATATCAAAGCGAAATATGGTATGCGTAGCTTCTTTCAAAATATTGATATGCAAAGATTCTTCCTAACCCAAGTTAGTTGAGTTGTGATAGTCGTGTTAAGAAGTCGAAGGGAAGGACGTACAAGTGTTTTTAAAATTCGACAAAAAAGAAATTTTTCCTTAAGATTATTAATAAAAGGATCAAAATTGCAAGAAATTGTTCAACTTTTAAACAGAGTATAAAATAAATCGTGAGTGAACAATGCCTAACATTAAATTGCGATCGTCTGACAACGAAATTTTCGATATTGATGTGCAAATTGCAAAATGTTCGGGCACTATTAAAACTATGCTGGAAGATTGTGGCATGGAAGATAATAATAATGCTGTTGTACCTTTGCCAAATGTAAATTCGGTCACGTTACGTAAAATATTAGATTGGGCTGAATATCATCAAGACGATCCTCAGCCTACTGAAGAAGACGAGGAAAAATCGAAAAAAACTGATCACATTTTACCCTGGGATGCTGACTTTCTCAAAATGGATCAGGGCGCTTTATTCGAATTGATTTTGGTTGCAAACTATCTGGATATAAAGCCTTTATTGGATATTGCTTGTAAAACAATAGCAAATATGATAAAAGGCAAAACACCAGCCGACATACGTCAAACTTTTAATATTAAAAATGATTTCACAGCCGCCGAAAAGAGGGACATTTTAGAGGCGAAACGAATGGTGTAAACGAATTGAAGTAAAACCTCCCTTTGTTTATGCCGAATAAAGCATTTTCTTTTTCATGCTTTAGATGCTATTACTTTACAGCTATTAAGACTTACTTATATACAAGCACTTGCAATAAAAATAAAGTAAATGTAGAGAATGTTTGTTGTTTTTTTTTTTTGATTACACGGTTGCGGAGTGGTGTAGTGAACGTTTATGGCAGTTGCTTGGCGCAGCGCGCTAATGAAAACTTTATTAGTTTCCCTTTCCTAACTGAAATTCGTGCATGAGCAACTGCAATCAGTTAGTTCGTTTCGTATTTATATTCTTTAGCTCCATTTATTTATTATTTATTTTTTTTACTTAGCTCGATGATGAAAAGAAGAGTAAAAAGAGATAGGAATGTGATGGTCGCAGCCTGGTGAGTGTGTGACCAATAAATAAGTATTAATTTTTCACCCAACTCTATCTAAGCATTCAGTATAGGTACGAATAAAAAAAAAAAAAAAAACTTTACCGCACTTGAGATTTGAACCCGCGAACACTGATTCGGTACCTTATCTGTTCGGCTACTTATAGCATTGATTGAAAGTACCTAAGTGCAGACAAGCAGAAGGATGTATATTCCGAATTTCATATTGATCGGGTAAATATATATATATTTTACTATAGATCCATTATTTTTTCATTATTATAAACTTTATAATAAACTTAATAGACTTGCATTTTTGTTACCATGAACGAAAAATTCGACAAATTATGCGGAAGCATTTAAGATATGGTATTGAATTTTGTTCTTTCAACCTATTTTGATATGTTGATGATCTAGGTAGGTTACAGTAGTATTCAATTTATTCAACTCATTGCTCATACTATTGATGAGATTAGAAGTTCCCGTTCATCGGAGTTCATTTCATCATTAACCTTAAATGTTACAAATTTCGATTTGAATTCCAGAAACTATTAGAAGGACGTTGGACTGTTGATTGTTCCGCTCTCAACGAAGACTAACTTGACGTGAATATATGTTTTTACCTTAATTAATTCCTGCAATTATTGATTGTTGCACTATTAGCAAAGCTTTCTTTTTCTTTCTACAAATTGTTTCTAGAACTTTTAGGTGAATGGCTTTTTATCAATGCGTTCACTTAAATATGCTTACAAAAGAAAGTTATACTCTTTTCAACTGTGTAGTACAAGGCACACCGAAAAAGACAACAATATCCATATATATATATATATATATATATATATATATATTTCTTTTTTTTGCTTTCAAATTGAGCTCTTAAAGAAAATTGCGTTTCCTGTGATTAAATCTTTGAAACTTGTTGGGTTGCCTAGACGATGCTTGCACGACGCTCACCAATTAATTGAGCATTTGTAACTTTTACAGACAATTTACAATTAACAACAAAGATATATATATATGTACGCACGAAAAGAACAAATGGTTAACCTGTAATCATGGCGATGCAAACAATTTTCATTATCTCTTGTTTTCTATCACCCTTGTTCAATAACGAATGACAATGAGTTTTACATTTTCAAAAAAAATAAAAATAAAAAATAAGAAATAAGTAAGAAAATTATATTCGGTCGTAACCGAATCTTCTATACCCATCACGTTGATGATAAAACAAAACAAAAAACTTGGTACTTCATAATATTGGGCGGGCCTAGAATAAAAGCGCATGCATTGCCCTTTACGAGTAACAACAAAAAAAAAAAACATGAAAACCATGAGGTGCTCAATATTCGTCTTAGGTGGACCTCTTGGCATTATAGGCGTGTTGTATCATATGCAAATGCTTTTGCGTATTTGTAGGAGATATTTTAGATTTTTGCGAATGGCAGAAGGTCTGCACACTTGCGCTGGTAAACAAATGGACAGATGAACGGACGAACAGGCTTAGGTGCATTCTGTATTTGAAACTGGCCAAGAATTTGAAACTTTCTTCTTTGTGTTAGTTGTTATAAAAGTTGAAAGAAAAAGGAAAATATGGCAAACTATAGAATGAAGTAGGCATGGCCGATTACAGCTAGTAAAGCATCACCAATAGAATATGCGTTCAAATTTTTGTACATCTATCTGCTATAGTTAACAAGCACAGTGAGCGCAAAACCAATTCTTTATTATTTTTGAAAAACAGAGAGGTGTTCTCGCTTTACGTGGTACTGTGCGTGTGTCCTTCGCCCAATTTGGCCCATTTTCATGAAAGAACTTGCAATGTTTCTGGTGAAATGGACTTTTGTGGCCAGAATGAATGTTTGCAACAGACATTACACAAACGAACAGACGAACATGCTTAAATCAATTCAGAATTTGATGTTGATCAAGCTATACAAACTTTATGGGGTCTCTGAACCTTCGTTCCGGGCGTTACAAACGTTTTGAAGAAACGAATACCTCGCATCCTTCGCTGATGGGTGTATTAGAGGAAAAAAATGAAACGAATAGAAAAACTATGCAAATCTGTGGGCAAATCGTACACACTCACCAGTCCAAGCATAGGTATATAACCAATCAAGTCTTTTTGAAACTGAATTCTGAAGATTTTGTAGCTCTGCAGCATTTCTTAAGGCGTGGCGGCGATTGTGTGGGCCCTTACCTACATACCTACTAACTATTATCTAATCTTTGTAACATTCCAAAGGTATTCCTTACTGGAAACATGCACTTGCAACATATTTGTTCATATATGTAATGTTTCCCTGATTTTTCTGTGCTATGTGCAATATTTTTATAAGGTTGGTTAAGAATATTTTTATTTTTTTTTTTTATTTATAAATTTTACTACACAACAACTTAACAACTTCTTGGAATATTATTATTAGCCCATTGCCTTTCTTTCCATTAGAACTGGAAAAAATTGTCGAACGTAAGCCTTTCGTTAGGCTATTTATTAACTCGACCCCTCTTCGCGATGATCACAATTACATATACATTTAATTCGTATTTTTTTATGATCTCGGCGATGAAACTAATCTATCATACATCCGTTCTTCTCTATTAAGTATAAAAAAAAAAAAAAAAAAGTGAACTATAAAAATAAAACATAAAAGTTAACCCATATTCATCCATCGAATGGCAGATGTTGAATAAATAGGAAATGATATAGAAAAAAAAGCGCATTATTTTAAATGTTTGTAATTTTAAAATCGTGAGATTTGTAAATGTTAAAAAATGAGTGTTGAGTTTTTTTTTTGCTACATCCAGCAATAGTACATTATGCTGCTATATATATATATATATATATTGAAAAATTTATTTTCCAATTAATTAAATAGATAGATAGATAGACAACAGACAGACAGACAGACATATGCTGCATTCACAAAGAAAAGTCATCGCAAGACAGGCGTGCAGCATTCGCTATACCATTTGTTCACAAATCAATCGCTTATTTATTTTTATTTTGATATTTCTCTTTATTTGTAGTATGTATGTGTGTGTGTGTGTGTGTATGTCATGTATACAATAAAGAAGAAGCCAGCGTTTGGCGAAACGGGGTATTTCACTTTCATTGCCACAAACTGTAACCTATGTGAGAGCGATGCATATTATTGATGCCAATTATATTGCATTTAAACTGAAATTTAGCACAAATTTAAGCAATAAATGCCAAACACAAATCGGAAATTTCGCTTTTTTTTTTTTTGTTTTTTTTGCTATTTCTATCCGAGCATATATAATGTTTTCATCTTCAATCACGTCAATTTTCATTGAAATTAACCGCGATGGGAAATATTACATTTTCATCTGTTTTCTTTTCTAAATTTTTTTTTTTTAATTTTTTTTTTTTTTTTTTTTTTATTTTTGTATTGACAAAAGCGTTGATATATATATATGTACATAGATAAATCGTCAAAAAAAAAAAAAAAAAAAAAACTATTTCAATAAATTTAAAACTTAAATATCTCTATTAAAATACTTAAGGAAAAGTTATTGCTGTCTTTTTATTGCTGTCGCTATTAAATGAATGGCATGCTGCGATTTATTAAACAGAAAGAAGAAAACGTGTATTGATTCGGTGGGAAATTTACCATCTATCGTTAAAGCGGGGACAATGGTATGAATACAGTTCTGCAAATGTTTACAATATTGATTTAATTATAGAAAGTTGTTGTTGTATGATTGAAGACAAAGATGCTAGTCTGCGTTTTTCCGTTAAGTTGGAGAAAACGCCATTGAAAAGCTTATCTTTAAGTTTCAATCATGGCCAAGTACACTGTTAAATAATCCGTCTTCGGATGAGCTCAAGAGATCTTTTAGAATCCTCTTTCAATACATATGTACGCGAATATGTGGCACATTTTCAGTTTAACTGCAGGATCTGTGCCGGGAATAAATGATTGACTCACCCCATCTAATATCGTTTACATCGATTTAGTAGACCGAGTTACTATTACTTAGGGATTTTTCGTGGATTACAATCTGATCCAAGTCCGATCCCTACCATTTCGAATAGCTCATCATTGTACTGTGTTTAGCTAAATATCTCGGCTTCTTTTTAAGCCCTTGTAAATACACGTCTGCACAAATTTATTATATCTTTTGCCACACGCGGGCAGTGCAGAAGAGAGCTGATCTACCTTTATTTCGACAAACAAGCCGCCTTAAGGTCCTTACAAATGATAACCTCTAGGTTTGTGTTGGAGTGCTTTCTAACTTTGACTAACATTGAAGCATAATGACGTGCAACGAATATGAATGCCTGGCCATTCGGATGTTGAGGGCAATAAAAGCGCGGACTGCCTTGTTAAAAGGAGACCTCGGGGGAACATGATAGGTTCTAAGCCTTTCTTCGACATACCAAGAATCTGGCTGGATAGCTAGGATAGCTATTGAAAGCAATCCATGGAACAACGTTCAGGCAAAAATATTCATAAAATCTTCCGGTATGGCCCATAAACTCATGGAATTAAGAAGAAGCGACCTACGTTTTAAAGGCTTCTACACGGGCTATAACTTCCTCAGGTGGCACCTGAAAAATATGGATATGTCCAATAACAATTCATGCGGATTCCGCCAACTTCCCATCACACTTTCCATGCGAACCTGAGGCCATCTGCAGCAACCGAAATCGTGCATTTTGCGTAGTGTAGAGTTCACAAATGAGAAGAGGTTGCAAAAACTGATTAAACTCTGTGGCACTAGAGGTAAGCTCTTATATAAACACTAAGGAAAAAGGTTGCAATCATGTGATACTCGCAACAACATCTCAAACGGATCGAATTTTTGCTACTATTGTCAACTACCCAAACATTTGGATGAAATTTCGAAAAAATAGTAAAATGCTGAATGAAGAAATCTAGAGAGTTTGTGCAGATATGTTGATGCATGAAAAGAAATGTAAACTTTAGAGTCCACGCTCAAGCACTTAAGATGTTCTGCAAATTTCTAAAATTTGTTCAATTCCCATAACTTGTTCGGACGTCTGTCCGTCCATTCAGAGGAAAGCACAGTTGCCCTAAAGGGTAATAAACAAAAAAAAAAGAAAAAAAAAATTTGTCAAATAATCCCAACAATATATCATTGGCTATCATGTTGTTTACAAAATAGTTGTGATGAATTTGCTGACAACCTAGTAAATCTTTCTTATTTTTCTATATTATAAATGAGTATACAAAGAGAGAACCGGGAAAATTCACACCTTTCAACCTAACAACAAAACTCTTTATATATGCATCATGTATGTGCCCACTTGCAAGCAGTTAGATTCATATCAAGTGAATGTATGTCGAAAAGATTTATAATGTTTTTGTTCTTTGTTTTCTTCTTTTGTTTCTTTTCCTGTTTGCGTCAAACTCTTACTCTGTAGTAGTAGTCGTTTTTATTATATTGTTGGCCTGTCACTAACTTCTTAACTCATTATTATGTAGGAAAAAAAAAAAAAACAAAAACAGAAAGGAAAAAAAAGAATATACATATATATATATATATATATATGTGTGTGTATTTTTTATATATATGTGCATTTATTTACTTCCTCTTATGTAGGAAATTTAAATCCTCTATATGTCAAAAAGTTTTTTTTTTAATTTCAACTTTTTTTATTTTAATTTTTTGAAAAATTTCTCATTTACTCGCGACCCAATCATCATTCTTCTCTTGTGTATTGCAACTTTTGCGCTTTAAATGGATTTGCTTTTACTTTTCTTTTTTGTTCTTTTTCTTTTT